TCTCTGTACGCCGTGATCTGCGCTGATGACGAGGTTATTTTAATAATTACGTATATTAATTCAAAATTCGCTCTCGCAGCGACAGCTTGAAGTACTATTAATGTTTGCTTGGTTCCGTTGAAGATTGTTTTTATGCGTGTAGTGAAAACATTCATTTAACGTTTTGCTAATTATGGAGGGGTGTGGGTGTACAGTGAAGAGTGAAGACGTGTCATGTTAGGTTTGGTTAGTGTTTTACCTGTACCAGTATTTACGTTATCAGACATGATTCAGTGAAACTTTCAAGTCATCGTCTTCAGTCACGTACATTTTTAAGAGTAAAACGCTTTTTAACTATTTCTGTGACTATCACGAAAAGAGAGAAGCTAACTGTAAAATAAAATTGAATGATTATTTCAAATGTTTTCAAGGAAAGGATGTGACTTAATCCAAGATATCTCTCGATAATACTGAAGAAATCTTAACAGAAAATTTATTTTTAATATCAATTGCTTTTTTTTCATTTTGGTATGGTGTTAGTACATTTGAAGATACCTCTATACATTTTCAAACAAATAAATACGTTTTGTTAACAACTTTCCTTATTAGAATTGGAATAGAAAAGTAGAGAAGAGTATGGGATTTATCATGCGAGAGTTCTCGCACGACACGAAGGCAGCAGACGAAACCTTGTGGTATGACACAACACAAAGAACGAACTTTTAAAATTAATCATATTAAAATATCTTGAAATGAATGAACAACAATAATCAAAACACGCTAGCCTACAATACTGTGTGAATGAATTTAAAAAAGCACCCAAATTTAAAATGATAGAAAGAATAGTGCAAGTCACTCGACCACGATCACAATCCAGACGCAGGATTTAAAAGTTGGCGGTGTCTGGAAGTCTGATGTACAGACCCAGTACATTAATATCCAGTTGTAAACTCATATATTGTAAGTAATACACCTTTTGATATTAAACGTGAGGGGTCGGTTCACTAATATAGAGAAGGCATTGAATGTTTGAATCAACTGATTGGAAAAACAGCTGTTAGCATAACATAACTGAGGTGCACATTAAAACATGCTGAAAGTATGATTAAATTGATTTTAAACTTGGCATATGTAGTATGCTGAAAAGACTAAGGAAAACAACAATAGCATTGACACCGCAACTTATGTGCTGGAAGATGTGTCTGATCGTCAGAGGCGGAACACCTGGCATCAGGTGAGCTATGACTCCACTTAACCGAGGGCGGGTTGACCCAGAGATCACGCGCGTAATGCACATCATGCCATCCGATTGACACAGATCAGGGAGCTTGGAATACGCAAATTAGTCTCTCACCAAGAGACGCAGAACCTGGCTTCAGGGCCATTTTGACAGTCACTGTGGCTGATAAGGCTTATGATTAAGCAAACCATTAGCAACTTGAGAGCGTAGGCTTCCGCGGCCGGAGTCAGTATTTTCTAGGCTGTCCGGTGACGCGGTCCATGGAAGGTGCCGCACGTTCGTGCCATTCTGTGACCTTCCTCCGGCATTACGCCTGAGAAGGTCGCAGAAATGGCGACGAAACGTCGGCTTCTGCATGGACGCGGCGTCACCGGACAGCAGAAAAAATACATTAGCCTTGAATTATTATAAGAGCCAATTTTGCAAAACGCGTATTAAGAATCCCACAGGCCGGCGCGAAATATTTGCAACCTACACGGAATGACCGCTGCTGAAATTCCGCGTCACGTATAGAGAGGCCAGAGCACTATCAGACCTGCGCGGCAGGCGAGCGTCGCGGTAGCGGATTGGCAGCGTTTAATCCGCGGTGGATTTTGTTCCGCGGTCGGACGCGTTTCTTCCGCTGTCGCTCGAGTTTCGCTGTAGAAATCAAGGCATAGACTCGCCAGATGCCGAATTTTTTCAGTGAATATGACACGACTGAACGGTCAGAAAAAATACCACTATTAGTGTTCAGTAATTTAATTAATCTAATATATAAAAATCAATGTTTAATTTTTTGTTGGTTCGTGGTTCATGTGATGCCGTACCGTTCATCCGTTTGTGATTAAATTGTGTCAATTCATTGTTTGCACCTACGGGAAGAAAATAGGCATAGTACAATAACACTTCACTACACGACGCTTCGATGCTTCGACCCAAGCAATTCCCAAGCCTCCACCTGAGCTTCATTGCTTTTTGGCGTTACCGTATGAAGTGGCGTGAAGTCGAGGATAGCATAAGGTGGGGGCGACGCAAGTTGGTGAGAGGAGAGGGGTAAAAGAGAAAGGGAAAAAGAGATTTTATAAGTGTATATCATTATTATTATTATTATTATTATTATTATTATTATTATTTAATTATTTGAGAGTTTCCTTGGATGAGCTTTCTTGGAGGAGATTTCCTTTCATTGGCAAACTTTCATCAATTAGAATCAAAAATTGAGGTGTCTAAACTTCTATCAATATCTGTTTCTTCATACTGCTGCAGAGCTCTTTTCAACTTTTTGAAGAATCTAGAAAACCTGCTTTTCGTTGATCTTTCAGTAAGGATTTTATATGTTTGATTCATCATTACGATTCATTCTTGAATGTCTTTGGTGTAATCTTTTGCTATAGTCATTGCATCTTTGGCTCCATATGTATTTTCTACAAATTATTTAAATTGCTGAAAATGTAAGGAAAATTTTTCTTGAATAGCCTTGATAAAACTTTTAGCTGATGCAATAAGATCATAAACTGATTTTATTGGGAGGCCTTCCGTTATATCTTCCTTTTTTGTGCAAAGTTTTTTAATGTACTGTAGATTTAGTCTGTCAGTTACTATTTAATACTTCTCCTTGAGAGGACTCAGATGGAAGTTTTCTTTTGGTTAAGTTATGTTTTGGTTAAGTCTTATGGAAAGTTATCTTCATTAATTGCAGGTGTTAAGTCTTGTGATTGTTCAATTTCAGGTTCTGGTTTATTTTTTGTTTGACAGCTATCAGGCACTTCAGAAGTGGTATTTATTGCCTCATTTGCAGTAGATTTAGAGGGGCAGTGATATGACCCTCGTGCTTTCATAGGAAACATGAGATGGTTTCAGTAGAAAAATAAATTCTGTGTGTGTCTATAAAAAATTAAAGTAGAATCAGGTAATTTCATGTCGTCATCGAGATCTACAAACACTTCTCTTCTGAAACTCAAAATATTAAATTAGCCAGGTTTTGATATGCATGCTCTGACTAAGGAAATATTAGTAGATGTTTTAATTTCTTTTTTTATTTGGAAATTTTAGAATTTCTTCGTGGGGTATTACTGGGCAAATATTGGAGATTATGACTCTGACATGATTATTAATTAAGGATCTTACACTTAGTTTATCTATTTCTATGAATTTGTGTTTATCAGTAATACTTTTTGCTATTTCAGGGCTTGAGAGAAAAATGCAGTTCCTGTTATTAGATATAGGGGATATAAATCGTATGTTACTAGAATCAACTATTGATGTAATCTTGTTTATGTATTCTTTCATGCTTAATCCGTTTAGTGCATCAATGATTATAGCTTGAACTTTGCTAGGAAAAGTATCTTTCTGGGCAACATTAGGACGAGTTCCACTTACTTGATGTTGTTGTTCTGAGTTGTTGGGGGTTAGGGTGTCCCTGTAGACAGAAAAACCCATGTTGGTAGCCGCATCAGCCACGGTTGTAGCTGTCTTCCCTCTTGGTATTAAGAATTTACTTATAGACACTAATAACAGTTATCAGCAGTCCTGGTATTCACCCGCGACACAATAATTTACTGTTTGTCGTACAGCTCCGAAAATACCATCTGCTGCCTGGTCAAGGAACATACACGTGTGGCTAATTATCTGTATACGAATTTTAATTCTTTTCGGTACCGATTATTCAATATATCTTTCTACTACTCAAGGTCTCTGAACGCCTTTGTACGAGACCAACGAAGTTCTTTGAACGAGATCAGATTGAAACCGTTTTCGACGAGCATTTTGACCGATGATCGATGAAAACAGTGCGCTGTGTAGAGCTCAAGAGAGACCAATTAAAAACATTCCACTATATTTTTTGGAGTGTCTCCTAGTGTGTATACCCACAACTTTAGTGCACTTCGCATTTCTATATTCTACGAAAACTCATCTTGTTTTTTAAATTAGATGGACATAGATTAACCTATTTTATTATACAAATCATATGCATTGAATCTAAGGCCGTTTTTCAGTATTACAAACGTTCTATTTTTCGTTTTTGTGCAATTCAGTGTAACTAGCACTCTGTTGCTAGAACTCAATCGTAGACCTCAGTCGTCATCCTCTGGTAGCTCGCAACTAAACTATTGTATACACTCTTGAATCTATGATGCGCTGCTAGGCAAAATACGTACTGAAAACTAATTATTTTGTGAGTATACGAAGCCCAGTACATAAAGAGATAATCGCGCTATAACGCAATGCCCTTGTGTCTTGATATATTAGTGTAGATAACAATTCTTGGTTATAAACCTCGGCTAACGCATCGGTTTACGAGCTTCAACAGAGTCTGTTATTTCGTGTTTATCGGCCTAATGACGTTAATAACTATAAACTGACGTCGATCTCATCTGTACTCTCCCCCCACCGAGCAGGGGTGCCAACCTATGTTATGTGATGCCACCTTTTCGCATGGGAGCGACAATGAAGAAAGTACGGATTTGAAGGAAATGATAGTAATAATTCAATGTGTAAATATGTCAATAGGTATGCTGTTTCCTAAATGGTGCAAGTTGAGTATTAAATATCACCACCTAGCTGCCATGACGGTGTTGTCTTACAGCCAATGATGCCGGTTATTAATACGAGTCGGTTTAAAACTCGGCTGCAGAGTGAACCCTATTGAAATCAAAGTCATACAAAAAAATGTAAACAAGGAATTCGAATACCTGGGATCAACGAAGTTAAAAAGACCAATAGTGTGTAAAGTATAATAATATTCAAAAAATACTTATATATACGAGAATATTTTCACTCATCACACATTAAATTGTTTGCAATCATTTTCATTGTATGGAATCGCAAACAATGGTGTACGTTGCAGGGTAGAAATTCAGCAATTATCACCATGGGTCGTCTGTTACAACCTGAAACAAAGTAATATCTATCACATTTTTGTTATTGTAATATTCCCATATTATTATCATACCAAAGCTCATATTTTCAAAATTAATTGAAGGCATATGCTTTCTGAGTTTAGAATATTCATATTTCACACGTATTTCTTATTATAGATTTATGGTAAATGAAAGTACCTTGTGACTAAAAGGTATCACTGAGTAAAATTTAAATAGGGCATTATTACCTTCAAGAAATATCAGTTAGTGGTTAAATTATCAAGTGCATTTCTAAAACATCTATATGTAAACATATGACAAAAGCTCGAATGTAGTAACAAAGAAATACAAAATAATACAGAAATTCTAACTTACGTAGCATCTTGTGTCCAAAATTTTTTAAATTTACGTTCACGAAACGTGGAAAATTAGACATTTGAAGCCTATATTTAACGCCAAATTACACAATAAAACTCATATTTCGAAAAATGCAACACAACCTAATTTGAAGACCTTTTTTCGAAAGTCGGTTTTAAGAAATTCTTGTTTCTGATATTTTTTAATATTGTACATATTTAAGGCAATATTGCCTGAAAACTATTAATTTTTTAAAGAATTCATGACCTAATGAAATAAATTATGAAGAATTAATTTTATTTGAGAAAACAATTTTTATCTTTATTTTTTTCTTGAGGTACCTGAGAACACAGAAAAAAATCAAATATTCTTAGTATAGAAATCATTTTCCAATTTTCATACTCCAGCAAGCTGACTCCCTGCCCCTGCAAACCCCCTTTATTTTCATGCCAAATCCAGGGAAGGGGTGTATGTGCCTGATGCTGTATATTCGCATATAAAATTTACTTGGCTTTAACAAGAGTTTTTCTAATATTTTGGTAAGTAACAAGGAAAACGAAATGATAACTGTCAAGGAACGTCAAATGTTCTTAAGGAAGTGTATATTGGTCGAAAAATGTTTTTTTGTGTGATATTGTGTAGGAACATCTTTTACATTCGACCACGTTTTATTAACAAGTTTCCTTCTTAATGTAAAGGATAAGGAAATGGATAGGGAAAAGGTAGAGATTAATAGAAGAGTTCTCGCACGGGTACGCTAGTATTCCATTAATCTTCAAATATTACACAAAAATGTTTCTTTTAAATTATCTTTCAAGTTGACACTACATGCACAACTTTTACATTGTTGAACATGTGAGAACAAGCTCTTCAAATAATCACTGATGAAATTTGTTAATGACTCAAACCTTATATCTGCGTAAATAAGATACATTTTGGGCCTTTACAGAAACGCTTAAAGAACTTTTTCTAAAACTCCGCTTCACATTTTTAATGACAATTTGCATGTAATTCCAGTATTTATAATTATAGAATATTCTTAGAGGCATACTTCAATTCTTGTAGGTGGTGGAGGACATATTGAGAAAATGTGAAAATATATATAAGGTGCTGATAGGTATAAGCCGGAAAGAGAGTGAGCAGAAGAACAAATAGGCAACTAGCTTATATGAGTAAGTGTATACCATTGTGTACTTCCACTACTTGTTAAAATGACGGTCCTTAAAGGGTCAAGCTCTTCCCGAGCCTGCCCTCTGCTGACGACGTCCACTCGTTGAACCCGCCCCTTCCAACACTTCCTCGACCGGGATTTTCCCACCGGGGTACAACCCCAGCCGGGACAAACTATAAGCTCCCAGCACGTGTGGTGGTGTAGTACATGTAAGTAGAAGTGTGGTAAAGGGGTCAGGATAGGACAAGGAAGAGGAAGGAATGATCGCGCATGAATCGTGGCGCATTTGTTACGACATGGGCTTCGGCATTTGCTTGGTGTGCATCGGCTAAATCACCGAAAACTACCGATCATAGGAGCCTGCTGCTAGAATTTGCTAGACAGCGACTGAACTCGACCAAGCTAACTAGCTAGTGCCGAAAATCCTGCCCCCGCCGGGATTCGAACCTAGACCTCCCGGTCATGACTGGACCTCTCACTCTGACCCGCATTGTATGACTTTATTTCATTATTCCATTCTGTTTGAATTGGGATTTCACAAAACTACTCTTAAATGCAATATCCATCAAGACAAAACGAGTTCATTTCCTGAACGACTTGTCAACCGTTCGCGTTCTCCACGTGTTTGGTCGAAATAGGAGTTGGTATGGCGTACTTGGTAGGAGCCAGGAGTGAAGAGGTGCCCCAGAATGTGCATGAGGAACGTGTCGCACTCTCGTGCGGGCTGCAGCTGAACCAGCGCTTTCCACAGCTGTCGAATCTTCTCCGGGGCGATGTGGTGCATTGCCAACATGTGGTGATACGCGCAGTGGTGATAAACACTCGTAGACATATCGAACCGAGGCTGAGCGGTCCAGAAGCGAGAAACGTGCACCTGCGAAAAACAACGACTGTTAAGCAAAGGATGAACTTCTAACAATTTTCAAAACATTTGACGACAAAGGGAAACACAATAGAATAGGAACATTATTTTAAACAAGAACAAACAGTGCATTTATTTTGAAAAGAAACATTTCATTGGTTGGACCACAAAACGAAAACTGATATTACATTTTCCTACACATTTTCCTTGAAATTTTCTTCATTTTTCGGTTCCCTAGTAATAGAAAGACAATATTATTTATGAATATTAAAGAACAGTAAAATATCGCCTTAAAATATAATTTAAAAAAAATCGGAGACGTTTTTAAGAAAATGGCGTTATGCGCTACAGTAAATCGGAAATTGGAACATTTTTACGTTTTCAAGAATCTTCATTTGAACTCCCAAATACGATAGTGCTTACAAATTGCTGGAAATGTACATATCAAATTGCTTAAAAAATTACATTTGTGTAAAAAAATATACAATACACCGAAATGAACTTTACATGATATTAAACAGTGCAATTTGCTACATCCGTTCGAAAAGTTCGAAGAAACAATTTGAAACTTTTTTTGTGAAAATTGTTTCTTGGTTTTTTAATTGCAAATATTGCACGCAATATTGCGTGAAAACTACTAAAAGTTTCAAAAAATATACATGACCTTAATGAAAGGACTAATTACGGACAACAAATTTAATGTGAATGTGAACCTCTATCACCATTTTGTAGTTGTAGAAAGACGCCGATAAAAATTCATAATTTTGAAATTTTCAAAAATTCAGAGTTAACTGAAAAAATTGGTCCAACGATTCTTTTCTAAGTGTATGTTACATTATTCTTGCAAAAAATGTAAAGAAAAAAATTGAAGACATTTTTGAGAATATGTAGAAAATGTCAAAAGATCTTCATGTAAAGTGCCCCCAGATTTTAAAGAATGTGTTTCAAAATCTCAAAGCTTCGTCTCTATCTCGAGCCAGATGGACAGGAGTTTCTTCAAATTGGACAAAATCATATTCATGGTTTAGGCGCAAGTAGTGTCCACAGACGGACAGACGGACGGACGTTTTGCCAATCATTGCCAACGACTGCTATGTGTTGCTTGACAAAAATCCAGTTTTTTCGCGCAACCTTACATAACCCACCCTATACTCCGTATATACGTATGTATACGGGAATGTAAAATTAATGACTGAGATATGTTAATTCGGAGATAAATTGTGGTATAAATAATATTACATAACCATTGCTAACGGCCGGAAATATCGTCTTGTTTTAGCACCACTAGTATTTATTATGTAATACTTATTAGTGTATTTTGCATATTAAGGAAGCTGTTAGATGCCAACTGTGATGATTGTTTTTCTTGCTCGTGAAGTATTCCTCAATAATTTATATCATTGTAGAGTCACGACCATGAAGTAGAAATGAGGAATGCAGATCACAGAATTTGGTCGGAGTGAAATAAGACATTGAAACATAAGTTTCCGGACGTTTCGGGATATTTTTATTCCATCCTCAAGACAGGCGATAAAACATAACAATATGAGACAACATTTTAGATACCCCATTGGTAATTTCAACATAATTTCATACTATATGTAATGGTCACAAATTGTACTGACCTTGCTACAAGATAAACAGAGGGAAAACTCCCAAGGCAACTCTTCATGGAGTGGTTATAGAGCGAGGGTACATCTCGAGCACGTCCATGGACTATAGATGTGAATATAGTAATGGTATTACTTACGCAATTTTTCTTGAACAATGACCTTGCTTCCCCCTCCAAGCACAATAAACAGATGAAGGCAAAAGCTCGCAGCGAGCACCGATGACAACATTCCAAACACACATCTGCACTGGAAACAATTTTCCTTTGAAGACGAGAACGTCTATCCGTTATTTTCTTAAAAAATCTAAAGAAATGACCGAAGCAGGTACAGATCTATCACGGGAGATACCTCGAACTATTGAGAAAGTAAGAACGCAAATTATTGAGAACGTTGCAAAGGCATGACTGATTCTCCGGCGATTGGCATTGCTTCATAAAATGTAGTAGCCAATTTCGTAACTAATACCCCTACTCTATCCGCATTTCTACAACCCATCGTTCAACAAAAGTTGCGCGAGTAATATATAATAATGGGTGGAAGTAGGCAGAAATGTGCAAAACTTGAGAAGCAAAGAATAAATATTTCGATAAAAACTATTGAATGTAGTACCAACGTTATCTTTCACAGAGGCCCTTTCGGATAAGCACGAGATAGTTACCCGTGGAATAAAGGTAACAGTACAAAGGTAAGTCGTACAAGAGGATGTGTCGTTTATTCTCGGAAAAAACAATTCTTAGAGACAACTATTCCTTGAGATATCTCAACATCATATAGCCAGTCATCAATAAATTAAATTATCATGATTAAAATGGCATGCCATGAATTAATTCAATTAGCTCTAAATTAAGAATATTTAATACCAAAGTTAAAATTAAAATTCTATATGAGTTTCTAATAAATGTTATGAATGTTTTATTAAAAAGGCTGATTTTTTTGATAATCAGTTATCACAGACTAATCATGTTTAAGATTAAGTTTTAAAATGGTTGTCACAATATAATTCAATTTATTTGTCGTTTAGTCCCTTATTTTAAATTACGGACAACCACAATGTGCCAAAAATTTCGACAATAAGACCTCCCTTTTTTAATATAGGATCAAACTTTCTGAATACACCTTCAACTACCTCCTAATTTCCGTTATTCCTCCACTATCAACGACTCAATTTAAACGTTCAACTGTAAAGTGGCTGGACAGCACTCCACCACTTATTTTAATATACAGATATGTTTCTCTATAATTTGTAAATATTATATATAGTTTTGTATATATTACTTTTAGTTTTATGTTATAACATGTGAGCTTTCTTTGAATTGGGTATAGTATAAATTTATTTGTTACTTTTATAATTTTGTGTAAATCATTTTGGCTTTATGAACAATTTTATAATTAAATTTTCAGTTTTACCTGATGTAAACAGTCTCCTGAACGTCGAACCACAAGTGAATCGGAAAAAATGTTTGGCACTTATCATTGTGGTTGTCCATAATTTAAAATAAGGGACTAAACAACAAGTAAATACAATACTTTTTTTAAAAATTCAGATTGTATTAGATTTGAACTAGCTAGATTGTTGACGCACGTAAGTATTATTCAAGAGCGTAAGGGTTTTTAAGGAATTATTGCAAAATAAAATGTTATTGACGAAAATTAAATTGTTAAGAAGTCAGGATGCGTTTCAAACTCATCAAAAAAAGTTTCAAATGGCGTGCCCAACAAGGGGCTACGTATAGAGTGCGTTTCAAAATGCTACATTAAATAGTATTCTTTTCCCAATTTTCAGACATGGTAAGTAATTCCTAGGCATTTTAGGATCCCTGGGTTCCTTAGACTTCTCCACGGGATTAAAAAGTTCCTTTTCTGTACTTACTAACAGCAATTCTAAATTGCTCCATCGTAATTTAAAAATTGGTTGTAGAGCTTAACAGTGGTCCTCAGAGCTATTAACGATATTGTCAGATCACCTCAACATGTGATCCCTAACGTCTTGAGAGCTTGGCGTAGCCCCAGTTTTTCCAACCACCAGTAGTAACATTTTGACACTGAGGAGAAAGAGGAATGACTTGGAGGAATTTCACCACTTTTTGCGTCTCTGATGTCAGAAGACTTGACCCATCCTTATAGCGGACTGTCGCGTCGACCATGTAGACTCATTTCCGGCATTTTTTATTACGCCAGATTTGAATCTAAATCCTTCGGCAACGGAGAAAGCGGATTACGTGGATCACAATGTTTGACTTCCGGAGAATCGTCGTCTCAATGAAGTTCATGATCTCTTGATGACGCTTCATTCTTGCTGGATTACTTAAAAGTGCATTGACCCAAAATGTAGTCCATAGTTTCTATCGCTGTATTTCACTTCCTGCAATATACGTCCTCTCTGGAGTAGATTTATTGGCAGCAGTACTCTATCTCAATTGGAGTGCCGTAATAAAAAGCCTAGGATTCAAACGAATAGTCTTCGAGAAAGGCATTTCTAATCATTTATACGTCTTTACAGCCCTCCCCTTGTGATTCCAGAACTTCACAGGCGGTTACCTCGTCAGCGGCGCATTTCATCTAATAGGCTC